TATATATATATGTTATATATATATAAAATATATTTAAAAATAAATATTTTAAAATATAATATATATATATATTTATATTTATTTTTGTATAGTTACTGTGTTAGGTTAACTTATATAGCAAAAGCTGAGCTTCAACCCGAGGATGTGGCAGGCTGGAGATGTGCTGTCTAGGCCCTTCTGACAGAGCTTGGGTGAGGACCACAGTTGGCCAACATTTCAGCCGTGCCAATCATGCTTGAGCCCATCTGTGCTGTCCCTGCATAGTCCTAGCCAATGCCTTTTCCCTCTAGGAGCTTGTGTATAATGAGGTTCTTCTTCATCTTCCACTTGTCTCCCTCGCCCTTCACAAATGGCCTGCATTGTGGTCTGAGGCTTTCTCCTCCACCTCCTCCTTCCCTTTGTCTTTCACAGGAGTTACCCCAAATATAAGGTTTGCATTTATAGGCATAAAAAGTCTTACATCAATGAATATTACTTAAATGTTATTGAAATGTGTTTACATTGGTTGTCACCAAAGGGTTAAGTTCTAAATGTATTGTGATAGGTTTTACCTTGGTTATCTTCAAAAGCTTAAATTTTCTGTGGGGGGGAAAAGAAAACGAAGGTTTTGTTGAGAACATGTTTTTGGTACCAAATTAAAGGGCGTAAGGTTTCATATAATTATGATAATTATTATTGTTAATTTTCTGTTTTACTAAATGAATTCATGCTTTCTGACTACACAGGTTTTCTAATATATTGTTTATGATAACCTCCTTTTAATTCAGGTATTCACCTTTTTCTTACATTCCAGCTACCTACGATAACAGGTGCATTTATATACTGATGTATTTTCTTTGGATGGCATCCTATAAAAAACAATGTAGTAGAAAATTTTTTTGTGTTTTTTTAGGAGAATGAGTACCTTTAACAATGGCTATTTTATGTTGAGATGGACATTTATGTATGTTACAAAGATAATGTCATCATGAATGTCATACTAAAATATTGTATGTGGCTCTTGAGATGAAGCTTTTTTTCTGTTAACATTTTACAGGAATTCAACTACTAAAGCAACCATGATTGCTAATAATAACAGTCTTCTAACTATATTTTGTATTTCAAAGTGCTTGATAGCCAGGTAAAATCATAATAATTAAGTTCACTATCCCATTGCAGGGCTAATACTACTGGATCTTCTCTTTTGAGTGTTCAACAACTAAAGTTTGGAGACCAGAACTAGTGAGGTAACTGGGCTAAGAAGACAGCCAATATTTTGGCTCTGGCCCTTGAAGGTCTATAAACAACCCAGGACATGAGAGAACCTTTGCTATAAGATCCTGTAACTTTGGTAAGTCACCCAAACTCCTGAGCAGGGAGATTGTTGGACACCAAAAAGATAAGGATCCAGAGTGTGCCAAAGGAGTGTCACTTGTAGGGAAAAGTAGCTCATGTGTTCACAGCAAATGACATGGTCAAGCAAGGCAGTGACATATCCTAATGGCTGACACTGACAGGAGCTGAAAAGCTCTATATAAGGTTCACAGTAATGCCTGTGGAAACTTAATTGACCTTGATAGCAAGCGGTTAATTTTAATTTATAGATCTTACATTAGATCTATTATTTAGTTTATAGATCTCACTTTAACTTGGTCTGAAACACCCAATAGAGAAGTATAATCCAAAGATATATGAAGTCAAGACCACAATAATAAAGCTGTATATAAAATGGGCCTCCAATTGCTGACCCCTACTGGCAGTTTCCAACTACACTGGGACTCACCCCTGCATGGGTCATTAGAAAAAGCTATGGTAAAATTTGTATATCTCAGCAAGAGTTTTTAAACTTTTTAGCTAAAATTGTTTTTTAAAATTACTAAACTTTCAATCTTTTTACAGCTAAAATTAAAAGAAAAATTATGACAAATATCAGGCTTATAGATAACCTCCATTAGTAAAAGTGTCTAAGAGCCAGCAGGTTATAATCACTATTTTAGTCCTCTAAAAATAGTTTAACAAATGTGCTAGATTTTTTTTTTTTTACCAAAATCTGTGAGATTGAGTTTATAATTGCTAAATTACAGTTTTTATTTAAGGCCTATTAAATTAGCTCCCTGAAGAGAGCCCCTAACTGTGGTCTTCCCTGTGTTGACCCTTCTCAGCTTAAAACAGTTGGATTGAAACTACACCCTTTCTCCCCTCTTTCATAATAGGAGGTGCTCTTTTATAAAGAAAATTATTATAAACTGCTAAGTCAGACACATTATAAGTCCTTGTGACATACATAGGTCTATTGGGTAACTCACAGGACAAACCATGGTTGAGTGTACTTACCTTTCCCTAAAGACACAATTGCATAAACAAGGGGGCACAGCTACCTCAAAAAGCTGAATTAGATCTTGTTGTTACTTTTAACTATTTAAATTCACTTATGAATGGTAAATATACTCCATTGAAACTCCACTGATACAAAAAAGATCTACAGACAAGTCCTAGACACTAATGTTGTCAAAGTATGCCCTAACTAAAAGGTAAATGGCTCAATACAATTAACAACATAGGGGCTAGGATATGCTTATTTTTAAACAGAAAATAAAAAGATGCTGTGGCCATCATCCCAGAATGTACCACCATGGACCAACAAGATAGATTTGCTGCAAGCAGCACAGTGTGACACACCTGCTGAAAGACATGCAAAGGGCGCATCTGAGCAACTCCCCTTATCTGCTACAGCCCTCGGACCTGCAAAGATCAGATCTGATGCAGCATCCATTTTTAAACAGAGAAGGGGGGGGGATGCAGAGGATTGTAATATTGATTATGCCCAAAGCAGGCTGTGAAGAGTTAACTCCACGATTGGCTTGTTGTGAGAAGTGAGTCTGGCTGAAGCCTGTGTGCTGAGGTCAGAGTAACTTGCATCCACATTCCATTCCCACAACTAAAACCTTCAGGCTAGAAGGACAATGTTCTAATTACAGTCAAATATTTTGTCTATTCTGTTCTTTTTTTTTCCTCATTGAGTTTACTGGTACATTTTAGGTATACAGTACAGTTACATTCATTATTGGGATCTTGCACCTTTACATGACAGGTCTTGGTTCTCATTATTTCCCCCTTGTCCTTGCCCTCCCTTCCCCGCTTTCCCTCATCCCCTCCTCCTTTACAAACACTTCTTTTCCATTTTTTCATTTTCTCATATTTCTTTCTTTTCCCTTATTAGCTTTCCCCTACCCTTCTCACTTTCCCTACACCTTTAGCCCCTTTCTTCCTATTTCACATTGTCAATTATCTCATTAGGATCTTATGTACTATTATAGTTTATTCACACCAGAGAAACTATTTGGTATTTACACATGTGTGATATCCTCAATATGTATCCATTTTCCTATGAATGAATCTAATTTCTCATTCTTTATGGCTGAGTAATATTCCATTTTATAGAAAAACCACATCTTGTCTATTCTGTTCTTAATTTAAGAATGCTTTGTCTTGTCTTTTATGAACCTTGTTTACATTAATTTCCACAGAAACCACACATCACCTTTACCCCATTTGAATGCCAATAAAAGTCAGTGCCTGGAACTGGCCAGCACCTTTGTTGGTTGCACCAGCATTGGTTGTCCTGGCACCTGACTTTCTCTCCTAGTTCTGTCTCTTATTTCTCTTATTAGTGTATTTATTTTGTAGGCCTGCGTTGTACACTGGGCAGGTGGGTACTGGAACCTGACTACAGGGGTCTCCGGTAATGGTGGTTTTGTGGCTTCCTCCAGGTGGACAGAGGCTTTCCTCACATAGAGACACACAGCAGA